ATTGGGGGTCAAAGCAAGTTCTAAAGAATTTTCCCCGAGGTCATTCTCAATTACACTTAGTAGGTCATCCTCCCCATTCATTTCAAAAGTATTTTGCACAATGGGATCTATAACATCAATGGCAAATAGAGAATGATTTTCGTTTGGGTATTTCATGGAGTCGTAAATATTGAATTCAATTTTATCTCCATCAAATTCCAGAGTTAAAGATCCGCTAAAAACATCAATTTTAGCTCTAGCGGTCTTTAAAAATGGCCTTCCTAAAAGGATAGGAACCGCATTCTTGTCATTTTCCATTTCTAAAACATAAAAGTCGGCGGGAAAGATCAAATTGTCTACCATAACTAGTACGTCTTCGACAATACCTTTAGGGTAGGCGTTTGATCTATCCGCAAGTTGGATAACTACTCCAGTTTCGTTTAAAGGGCCAAGTTCAAGTGATTTGTACAAAGAATAAGGGATGACATTAATTGATGCCCCCAAATCTAACATGGCCTTTGAAAACGTAGTACCTCCCAACTTACAAGGTATAGTGAACATGCCCGGGTCATTGTATTTTTTTGGAAGTTTCTTTTGAAAAACCGCGGAGACACGTTCACTAACTTGAACTTTCTGTTTCCCATTGAGTCTATGCTTCCTTTTTATTGTGCATAACTCCTTAAAGAATTTTGCAAATCTAGGAACACCTTTTATTAAGTTGAGAAGAGGAATATTTACCTCACATTTGGAGAATGTCTCATAGATGTCCTTGTCTTTCTCCACCCTTTTCGTTTCCCTTAGAGCTTCGGGAAACGGTGCTTCCACTTCATGAATAACCGGGGGTGGAGTTGAAATGTGAGCTTCCTCCTCCTCCGGCTGAGCTTTCTCCACAAGCTCTTCTTCCTCTTCCTCGCCAATGTGGCTTTTGGCTTTCTCCTTGGCAATCACCAATTCTTTGCCACTCCTTAATGTCACCGCATGGGCTTGTTGCCTCGGATTCGGCTCCGTTTGAGATGGAAGCTTTGTTGAATCCTTGGCTTCAAGCCTACTCACCGCACTTGAGATTTGGCTCATTTGATTCTCAAGGTTTTGGATGCTTGATTTTGTCTCATGTTGGAATTGAACCATGTTTTGTTGCATGGTTGAGACATTTGAGGTGAGTGCTCGGATCATGTCTTCGGTGGACATAGTTGAGCCTTGGCCTTGGGGTTTAGAGTACGGTTGTTTTGGAGGAAATTGGTTTTGTGGAGGGTTATTTTGTGGTGGGTTTCCTTGCGGATTCCCATATCTCAAATTGGGATGATCTCTAAACCCGGGATGATAAGTGTTGCCGTAAGAATCATACCTCTTTTGGTTTGGGAACCCCAAAGCGTTGACCTGCTCGGGGTTTTCTTCTTGAAGGCTCGGGCATGCATCGGTGGGATGACCTTGTTGTGTGCAGATGCCGCAGACCTTGACTTCTTGGGTTTTGGAATTTAAAAGAAAATCCTTTACCAAAGAAGTCAAGCCGGCAACTTGACTTTCTAGAGATGATGTTGATTCGGCCGCCATGACTCTTTTTGTTGATGACCGCCCGTTGTGATATCTACAATTCTCGGCTAACTCCGAGATAAGATTCATAGCTTGAGAAGGAGTCTTGTTAACGATCCCTCCTCCACATGCGGCATTAATCATCCGTCTATCATCATTGCAAAGACCATCATAAAAGTATAGGATGAGGTCTTGCTCCGAATAGCCATGATACGGACAGCTTGCACAAAGTTTCTTGAATCGTTCCCAATATTCATAGAACGATTCATCATCTTTTTGCTCCACATTGCTTATTTGCTTTTTTAGAGATGAGGAGACAGAGGCTGGATAGTACCTTTCGAGGAAAGCTTTCTTCATGGCCGCCCATGTATCTATACTTCCCGAAGGAAGATAGAATAGCCAATCTTTTGCGGTATCTTTGAGGGAGAATGGGAAAGCCCGCAATTTGATTTGTTCCTCGGTGACTCCATTAGGACACATGCTTGTGCATACGACATGGAATTCCGAGAGGTGTTTATTTGGATCTTCCCCTCTTAAGCCATGGAAGGATGGCAAAAGATGAATGAGCCCAGATTTCAGCTCAAATGTATTACCCTCGTTGAGTGTGGGGAAGGTAATACACAACGGTTGTTGGTTCAAGTTCGGAGCTATGAGCTCCCTTAACGTTCTTGTTTCGAGAGCCATAGTTGTTGGTTCTTCAGGCTCGCTAGAATAAGAGCTAGTACTTGATGAATCTCCCGAGCCGGTATTTGAGAATTTATTTTTCAACCGCTCGAAAGTTTGCTCTATTTCGGGGTTTGATTGGTAGGTGATTTCGTTTATAGAACGATATCGGACCATATACTTCACAAAGCTCAGAAATAGAAAAATAAGAACTCTTTATATTTTTGGTTAATTATTTTTTTTTGATTTTTCTTGAAATAAAATAAAAAGAAAAATAATTGCCTTTCCCCGGCAACGGCGCCAAATTTGACGTGCACTTTGTCGTGGTGTGCACTCAAAATAATAATCAATACGACACTAATACGTAGTATAGTGTAGTAAGGTTCGTATCCACAGGGAAAGGAATACTTTTCTCTTTTATAAACTAGAAACAATGGGGGGGGGGGGGGTTAGATTGAGTAAATGAACTTGAATTATATTTAAACACGAAGATGAACGAGTTATGTGGTTTAATGAATGAGAAGAAGACTTGGCTTTGCTTTTATCCACTTAATGAAATGTTCGTCGATCCCGGTTATATCTTTAACTATCTCCCTCTCGAATACTCAATCGAGGAGTATATCCAATTCATCGAGGGTAGTTATTAATAACGAGAAGCGTTCATTAATAAAACTTACTACCGAGTCAATATAGAACAAGCGCCGTATATTAACTTGATAGTAGCAATAAAATCAAGATGAAAACGATTGAGATTGATAACCTCAACTCAAGCGGTTTATTGGTTCAATCAATATAATTAATTCCCCTTGGCTTATTAACCATGAGAAGCATGCATTAATAACCCAAGTTTACTACCGTGAAAGAACCGAATTAATAACAAGCGTATTAACCGATTGATTCTAGTAATAATTAATATATAGAACAAGACTAGTTGATACTTTAAGTAATGCTCAATATATTAATATGGAATATGAATAGGAAGTAATTAATATTCAAGGAAGAAGATTAGAGAAAATAACTCACAACTTACAAATCATTAAGCTTCAAAGTAGCAAAACCAAGATGGAAAAGTTTAGCTCCTCATTTGGAGACTAAACATGATGAAAAATATAAAGAAAGAACTTGTCTAAACTGATCTAAGAAGTATATGTGTATTGGTGAGATTGTTGTGAAGGAAAGGAGGTGTATTTATAGGTTTTTTTGGGGTGCAGGTCGGGTACTCGATCGAGTATATATATGTACTCGATCGAGTATGTGCAGAAAGCTGAATTCGATCCATACTCGATCGAATTTATAGTAGAATTCATAGCTATACCCGATCGAGTATGTCGGTGTACCCGATCGGGTATAGACACTCGATCATGGGGAAATCTTCCTCTGCATGTTCCTTTGTTTTCGGATCCGATCCGATTTGAAATTTCAACCAGATACTCGATCGAGTATAGGAGATACTCGACCGAGTATAGACAAAAATCAGGATTTCCTTCTTTTGTCTTGTGATTTTGCACCTTCCTTCCACTTTTTGGGTTTCACCAACTGTCCTTGAGTGATGTCAGACCTGTTTGAGCTCAGAATAAACCTAATCTAAACAATTTACAAGAATTTGACAAACTAAACTATTACACCGAAAGTGTGTAATTTCCGAAATACTAAACAACCAAAACTAACTAAAAATGTAATTAAACACACGGAAATTACAAACGTATCACAAAACTAACTACATTTTTTTTGTAATTTACTTATCTAAAAATGGATGTAGTCGTTTTCTTAAGATATTAGCCCTTCTAGGTTATTAAATATTTCAAATTAGTCTTTTGACCTCTTTCTTTAAAAAGAGAGTTTACAATATATAGTTTTGTGGCATTCTAATTTTAATGAAGGTGATGACGGCAACAATAGGCCGCATATTGTGATTGGCAGCGATCTATTTATTTTTCATTATATTGAGTTATTGGAGATATATATGATCTCATTAAGTAAAATGAGTGTTATTGAACGAAGAAAAGTTGCACAATATACTTTAGAATTTTACTATACAAGTTTGACCTAGAAGGTCATATGTGTGACACCACACCCGAACGTACCTCGAAATTTCGGTTAAAAAAAATACAATTCATACAGTTGAATTCGCTATTATCAACTACGTGTAAAACGATTAAGGCTTTATGTAATGAATGATTAATCGTACTATCGTTTAGGCCCATATTATAAGGACGGGTTTCCAAATACTTTATTGGGCCATCTTATTAGATATAAGATCCCAATAAAATGTAAAGAAATATTCATAACCCTCCTAGACCAAATAAGGAAGGTCGGGCAATCCAAATGTTATTTTGGGCCCAACCTGCTAAAAATAGTAAGTATTCAAGAATGAAGTTCTAGGTCCACTTGAGGGTGACCCACATGGTTTGTAGCCCAAGAATATGAATACAAATGTCATAAATAAGTGAAAGGATGAATAGAGAGAAATACAAACTCATATATATGGTTCCATCTTTGGCATTATTGAGCTAAATAATGGGTGTAAAGTTTTCTTTTATAAGTATGCACCATGTAAATTATCGGGATGATCTTACACATATTGGAGATCAATAATATGATTTAGGAGGTTTACTTGTTCTAAATAAATTAGAATGAGTACAAAAAGACATTTCATGACAAAGATAAAAACAATAGGACCCATCTTTCCATCATTTGAAGTATTGGTAACCTTCCCCCAAAGTAATTTGGGATCAATGGGGGGAGTCCCACACTACCCTAGCACCTGAAAAATAAGAGGAAATGGGTTAGAAACATTGGTTGCACGGCCACATAAAGAAGGGGGCTGCACTTAATGGAAAGGACAAACTTGGGTTCCTCATTTGTACTCATATGTGAGCTGTGATGTTTCCTCCATTTGAGATATACTCGACCAAATTGAGTGAATGAGGTTCCTTTAGAAAGCTTAAGAATATCTATATCCACGAGCTTCAGGTCTTGGAGAGCAAAGGAGTCCACACAAACAGATAGGCTAGAAGAAAGGGGACTGCTGCGTACAACCTCGCACAGTGCGAGTGTTGGTTTTGTTCACCTCATATCTTGAGAACCACTTATTCAAATCGGGTGTTTGAGGTGTCTTTGGAAAGGTATTGAATAGAGCTTTCATAAAAGGTGCTATTCTTGAGAATTTGAGGAGTTTACAGCCCAAAAAGGACGGATATACATCGAGGTACGAATCTGGATTCCAAAACTATGAATTTGATTCTAGTGATTGTTACTCCTATTTCTTGAGCTCCTCTCAACCAAATCGAACATGTAATATGTCAATGGAAACCTCTAAAACTTAGTTTCTGGAAACGTGCAGCTTGGGAAGAGAATATAAGATGAAGGGTTCCAAATCAACGAAGACAGACCCAAACGTGCAAAACAGTTTTTCCTCTTTAAGGTAAGTTTGAACCTTAAAGCTTCCATTTCATGGTCTAAATCACACGAACGACTAGGAAGGATATTATACATGACTATAAGTATGGAAAATGTTCTTGAGTATCTTATTTCATGGTCTTAAAGGTTAAATAGTAACCTATGTTGAACCTTGAAAAGGTATGGATTGTACTCACCCAAAAACATCCTTTAGGGGGGCTATTTTCATAACTTTTGATAGGGAACGAACCTACACTTGGAAGAGGTTGTATAGAATCCAATTTTAGGCAAGGAACCAATGTTCAATCACTCCTGGACAAAGGTTTGGTTGTTGGATTGATAAAGGGTAGTTTGGAGCTTAATCGAGGTGAGGACCGACATCTAGTTTCTTACAACTTGTAGGTTGTGCATGAGATTACCTAAATGCTTAAATCGTGTTTTTCATGAATAAAGATGCTTGAACATAATATGAAGAATAAGTAATGAATTTGATTATGATTTGGAATCATATTAATGAATAAGGAGTTAAGTGAAGTATAAATGTGCTATTATGCCAAATAGCCATTTCTACTCGTGTATGCATAATATGCCTATGTAAACGAAATACGATAGTGCTAGTTAAGGATTGTTGATAGAATCAAACCTAGGGTTTACATAGTATTGTGATGAACTTGATGGACTTCAAGTGTCATTTGTGTCTTAGTGTGAACTAAGGTTAAGTTGGGGGCAGTCCATAGGATGTCCCAAGATAGCTTTATGTGTGACAATTTAGGCATAGTGAGTGCTTATGAATTGGGGTCTATGTCAATGTAAGGAGATGCACTTGAGCCCGAGCTCTAGAATTGAATTGGGTAGACATAACATTTAGGTTCAGCCCATGTAAGGAGATGCACTTGAGCCCGAGCTCTAGAATTGCATGGGTGGACATGATGTCAGAGATTGATGATGTGATATAAGGTTTGGAACCTAGGGTCAAATCTATGACAATGTAAGGAGATGCACTTGAGCCCGAGCTATAGAATTGCATTGGGTAGATATAAAGTGGATGCATTAGGGTTGGACCCTATGTATTGTCGCGAGTAGTTTATTCCTATAATTTACGAAGTATAAGTTATCGATATGCTCGAGTCCAGATCAAACTGAACATGACTATGCTCGAATTTTGCTTGAATAACTATTCAAATTCAAAATCTAGCCCGTATTCGAGATGGAAGCTCTAGTCATTAAATAAAATTCGAAATCACGAAAAAAACTCAGTTCAATAACAGTCATAAGCTAAACCTTTTGTGTGCTGTAACGAAAATCTTTACTGCTTAGCTCATCCCATCCCTCATTCTTGGATCCGCCCCTGCCTGTGTGGCCCTTTTGTTTTAAACAATGTTTTCCGATGTGTTATGTATTACTTATTATGTTTGTTTATGAACGTTATATGTGTGAACGATATTCAAGACGCTTTGTATAATTTGGATGAGTTGGACTGCGGTTGACTATTCGTATTGTACGGCGGGTTGTTGACGTGTCCGCGTAGGTTCGGGGCGTGACAATATGAATAAAACCTATAAAAAAATCATCGCATCAAAAGATAGCTATAATTGAAACATAATTTAAACATGTCAAAAAATTATGTAATGAAAAATAAAAAGACAAACGCCCCCAAAAGAATGATCTCAATTTGCATAACCAAATAGTACTATATTAAAGTTACATCTATGAGTATGTAAAAGAATTACTTCATACCTTTAATATACGGTCTATCTTATTTATCTAGCTCTTAAACACCACTTTTAGTATCGCGGTATGATGGTTATATAAGTAATTAGTAAAACTTTCAGAGAGCTGGCCAAAATATGTTAAGATTATATTAATATATATACAATAAAGTAAAAATAGCTTTTACTTTCACAAATGAGATAAAAAAAATTGATTCTCATTGAAAATATCCTTAATTAGAAAGGTGAACATAAATTTGAGATAACCTTTTTTTTAGATAACATTAAGACAAATTTAGATTTACCTTTTCTATTTGTATTGCGATTGTTACAAAAAAAATATCAAAATTCATAATTTTTTATTATCTATCATATGACACCAATATTGAACATATAAGAATAAAAAATAAGTCAACACATTAAAACATCTGGTTTTAAGTGTTGTAACATTGTTTTTATACTCCAACTGTCACAAAATATATATCCGGCCAATTCATAACTTTTTACTATTATAATGACACCAATATTGAACATATAAAAAAATAACACTTTAAAATGACGTCTGTTTTTTATGATTGCTGTAACTATTTTATTTATACTCCAAATTATATCAGAATTCCTAACTTTTTATTATTTTTCATATGTTATGAATGTTGCATATATAAAAAATCAATTAATTTGTGCAGTTTATGATCATTTTTTTTCACGCACACTATTAATCGGAGTGATAGCTTAGAATAAAACTGCACAAATTCTCGCGTAAAAAATAAAACAATAAATGAAAGTAATGGGGTTTGTGCAGTTTTATTCTAAGTTATCAATCCTCATTAATTGTGTGCACTGTAAAAAATGATATTAAATTGAAAACACTAATGAAATTAATTTTTATTATTTTTATATATGCAAAATTAATGTCATATGAAAGATTATAATAAATTATAGATTTTTATATATTTTTTTTATAAAAATCAGAGTACTCAGTAGCACTTCACAAAAAAAATTAAGATATTTTTATAGTGTTAAATAATTTTTTGATTTTTATATATTGATGTTTATGTCTCATATGAAGAAAATAAAAAATTATGAATTTTGATATTTTTTTTGTAACAATCAGAGTACAAATTGAAAATCTATACTACTTTAAAATAAATATGGGATTTTCTTTTAGCGATTCTAATCTAATAAGAAGTGATTGATAATGAGTTTTTATTTAGGAGTCTAATTTGTTGGGGAATTATTCTCGCCACTTGCACCAGCCGACATCTTCCAGCAAACCGCTTCTTCTTTCTTCCTCTCCGGGAACTTCCAATGACAAGTCTGAGCGTGGTTGTCGCCCTCTTCTGCTCTCTTCCAGAAACTAGTTCCTGCACACGTAAATATCAAGAAAGACAATAGCTCGAGACGCGTCAGACGCTGTCCTTAAGAAAGTATTTCCGGTGGCCGGAAATCTTTCCCCAGGATATAACGAGCTCATCGGCGAATCGCCAGACACAAAACTACGAGGATAGGAATGTATAGTACGTAATCCAGCAATGTTTAAAGGTTGAAGCATTGACATTTAAAATAACCTTGGCAAAATATACAAAGTATTTTGGACGTGAGATCCTTTTTAAGATACAAAGAAGAGAAGCTATTTTTGAAGATGAGTTCGTCGCATAACACTTTAACTGTCTCCTGGGATTGAATTATTAATTTAATATATAGAGCAATTGGAAAATTAAGTTGGTTATTGATCCTAAACAAGTGGAGCTAAAGCAGCTCAACCAAGGATTGCCCGGTCAACCGAAGTGCACGTTCAAAGTGTTATCCGAACAAAATGTTCAAAATATTTAATTAAATAAAAACGATTTAAAACTAATTTTGTTTATTTGAAATACTTTTAAAATTTCCAACAATCCCCCACATATTTCAAATAAACATTTATGGTCAAAAACTAATTTAGAAAATCTGCTGGATTAACGGGAACGAGACTTTAAGTCTGGTGTCCGAAGACTATAAACCAAACCGAGACGATTAAGTCTTTATAAACCGAGCTTTTGGTGAAACGTATAGTTTCTATGAACCAAGAAGCTACTATGGTAAATTAGGCTCTTAATGATCATCTCTCACCCCCCACAATTCCTCGCGTTAACGCCGTGGTGCGCATTCTGGCCGTGCGCGTGCCTGGTGTTCGTGAGTGCTCTAGAAGCGTTGTCATGCTTCATGGAGGCGGCCCCACCTCACACTCATATAGGTGATCTCATCAAGTGTGTTCTGCACTTAACACACCAGCCATAAGGCTATGAAAATCATTAAGAGTTTTAGCTCAGCCTCACAGCGAATGCAGTCTAGCCTCACCCTAGAAATGGACATAATAGGCTAGCAAGAACAAATAGAAGACTTGTTATTACCCATATGAACCTGCTTCATGGGATCTCCAATCACACAGGTTGGGTTACCATCCCTATTTGTTAACAAGTGACAATCCATTTCCCTCGGTGTATAAAAATGATAATATCCGGATTTCTGCGCGCCAAAGGGGATAATTAACTCCTTTTGTCAAAGTTAATAATAACTTATATTTAATTCATATGGTATTATTGTATACGTCTATACAACAATATCATTTAGAATCATATCATCATTGTATGTCTTTAATACAATGGTTTAGCTCACCAAATACACTTTTTGTGTTTCCACAATTTTGCTCAATCTTCCGAAATTAAGTCGTGTTTCACAGAGTTTGTTATTTTTAACAAACTCACAATTCTAATATTCATAACGAACATTAAAATTTATTTCTCCAATGTGAAACTCAGCATCACTTGTGTGATATTCAGCTCAGATGACATCGTTGTATCCCGATAATACAACGGATAACTCTTAATAAACTATATAACATCATTGTATCATTATAATACAATGGATAACTCTCATGTAACATCATTGTACTGCTATATTACAATGGCTATTTCTCAATAAAATATGTCATCGTTATATGAATCTATTACAACGGATAATCTCAATCAAATGTATGTCATAATTAATGGTATTTGAACTATCCCATTTGGATTGAATAATTATTGGCTCAAAAAATTATTCAAGCATGTACAATATACTACGTAAAATTGCATCACTGCATATCAGCCCCCACGTTTTCAATATTAAAACAGGTGCAAAGACTATTAACTAGCTAGTCATACATAATTTAGAGCTAAAAATAAAAATACTCCGTATTCAAATACCCCACATTTAGGATATACGTAGTATAAAATTAGGTTCATTACCAATTTACACGTCCAAACATAGGTTAATGATTAACCAAAAATTCCAGAAC